ACCAAAACTAGAAATATTAATAAATCTTATGTAAATTTATAGAATAAATATGGATATTATGAGATGACTATTTTATATAATTTACATATTTCCTTCATTTAGCTGAGAATAATAATTTTACGTGCGATAACATGATTTTTTTTAAGGAACAAATTATCGAGTAAATATATAATGAATACAAAAAGACATCGCAAACATCAGCAACAACAGCGTGACGCGATGTTATTTCTACTCGGATTCATATTTTGCTTGATATTTTTGAAACACCATTTGTGTCACTTTAACGACCATACGGTGACCGGATGTCGTAATGACGTACCGACAAAAGCGCGCGTTTCAACTTCTTTTTCTTTCTTTCTTTCTTTCTTTCTTCTCCGTAAGTCGGCACACGCTTGCCTCTGTGTAGCTCTATCCACAGTTTATACTCTTAATGCATTCTTTGCATATTTTCAATTCGCTTTTGTTATTCTGGCTCGCTGTCTGCAAGGCAATCGAGATTTTCAAACGCACAAGAGTGTATCGTGTGTCATCGAGGTGTGATATTCTTAAAGCATTTGTCGTTGCCAAAAAATTTGAGTTATCGATAATAATGCATGATGGCGACTGATGTTCATGTCTCCGAACGCGAAGGTGACACGATATGATTTTTTTTTTGTACTTGAAAAAATAAAAACGTCATGAAAATCGCATGTCATTCCATTTTGCTCTACGGTGGTAGGGCACCGTATTTCGCAAACGTATACAAGTCGCATATTTTATCGCATTCCTCTCTTAAGTTTCTTTTTCTCTCCAAAGATAAAATGGACGAATTCTATGCATCTGCGTTTCTCTCTCTCTCTCTCTCTCTTTCGATTTTTCGCTTTCTCACGTAAAAAGCGACTTTAAATAATCTCCCGAAGAAATAGCGCCAGAATTATGACTAACAAATGTCAAAGAAAATATCATTTTTTTGTTATGCTTTACGAGCATATCGAGACGACTTCTTTGTGATGCTGTCGCGCCCGGATTGCTCCCAATTTAACTTCCACGTCTGTGAACTTGTTTTTTTTTTTTTCCCAAAGAAACAAAATTAGCGGAAGCGCCGGGGATTTGCTTCGTCGAACGTTGCGACGTGCAATCGCGAATCATCATTGTGCTATTTGCACAAAGGAGTGATAAGATTAAGCGGCTCTCTTTCCCATCGTCGAAAATCTCGAACTAAGACCGTATAACATTTTATCGTTGCCTTGGAAGATACGCTGATACTACAGGTTTATTGACAAGTGCGAGATGGAACGACGATACCGGCGTACTCATAGCTATTTACTTAGCGTTTTGCTGTTGGTAGCGGCATGTCAATATCGCGCCGAACTCGACATCCGTATTCGGGAACGGAAACCGATGTTCGAGAAATCTCATTACGCGAATTCGCTTTACATCATTATGCGAAAAATTGTCGAGATTTCGAAAAACGGAAATAATATCGATATCATTAATGTCTCTAAATTTTCGAAATAGTGCAAAATCAGATATTTCTCATAACGATGTCATGTAACGTATGCCTGTTACTACCAATGTAATTTAATTTTAATCTCGATTCGACAGCCAGTTCTTCATCTCTTTCTAGAACTAATGTGCCCATTTCCACTAATGTGGATTAACTTTAATCTTTGTTCAACTTGCTCTTTATTTTTTTTTCTAATTCTTAGAACTAGAAAGAAATAAAGAGTTAGTTGTAGAAAAAACCGAGAAGATAAAAATTAAACTACATTAGTAGAAACGAGCGTAAGAATTAGAAAAAGATGAAGAGTAAGAATTGTATCGAGATTAAAGATAATCTGCATCGATAGAAACAAGCATAAATCGTCTTCCGCGATGGAACGGGGACCGTCGACAATTTTTTTAGTTATCCGCAAAATGACAGCCATTCGGCAGGTATCCATCAGCAATCGTTCAATAAATCGAACCGTGCCCGCGAATTTCCCGTTTTCGCAATGGACGGTAATTCAATTCCGTTTACGCAATTTCGCGCGTTCGCGAGTGGCGGAGCGATCGACGACTCAACGGGTGTCCCGATCGTTTCCCGCCGTTTTCAGCATTTCCTTGCACGGCGTGCAAATCGTAACTCGTTCACCACCTACGAGAGAGATCGGTGAAGAACGTTTCTTCTCGTCGAAGGGGCTCATGCCGATCACGGCGATCGCAATCTTTCGCGACTCGCACGGCCCCGTACGGCGGATTCGCTGCGCTTGTAAATTGATCGTGGCTGTGCACACTGCAACTGAAAGTGATCTGCTCGTTAAGTACCGCGGGCTCCCCGAGAAAGACAGCGTCTGGAAAGTAAGGTAAGGGGAGAGGACAGCGAGATCGCGATCGAGAAAATAACGACGATACCCCCCGACATACGCGATTAATGGCGAAAGTCGTGAGCGCGGCCGGGAAGAAGGTTTGCTCTCGCCACATTTCTTGTCTCGATTCGATCTTACGCAAGCAACGACGGAACTTGGATGTTACGTAAGTTCACAGTAGCTCGCTTCCGCTTTGTATATAATATCAACGGAGATTGCTACTGGCGTGGAAGATTGTAAAGTAAAAGTTCATTTCCCGTAATGTGTTGCGTGACGTCTAGAATGTCCAGACCATTATTATTATCATTATTAATGGATTCATTGTAATAGATATTTTTCATCTGTGAAATTTTTAGGAGAGCATTTTAGCGTAATTGTTTTTTTTATCAACAACTCTCAAAGATTCTATGAAACATCGTCGAATGTACAATTAAATGTTTGTACAATAAAATTGTATATATAAAATTTGGCAGAGAAATTACGAATTGATTTATCTCATTTTCTTTAAGTTCAATTCGCCAATTAATTTGAGAATACTCTTACAAGTTAAAAAGATTTCATTAATAAAAATGACAATAATATGGCACAATATATAATATACAACTAATAGCTAGCAATTTAAGTAGACCTTGCGGCTTGTTTTCCACTAGCGTAGTAAATATATAATGAAACACTAGTATAATTTTTACATACCCGATCGATTCCATTTCTGATGAGAGCTGATGAACGTTCGAAAGCGCGCAACAAAAATATCCGAGAAATATCCAATTCACAAAGTCATACCTCACACTAAATAGTACTTCCGCTTAGACCGCCGTCCTGAAAATCATTATTCACGCCCGACGATCATTATTCTTCGCAATCATAACCGAATTCAGCGTCGCGCTAAATTTTCCGTTCTCGCGGTGGGAGCGTGCGTCCGGTTTTCGCGACGACACCCCGTATATCGCCTGGGAAAATAAATCTTGTGGACACTCACCGGGAGGGAGACTGGACACTGGAGGCTGTCACCGGACACGGGTTGCAGCGACTGCAACAGATCGCGTGCGTGAAAGAGAGGACGGCTATCAATGGCTGCATTATACAATACTCGGTGGTGGTATATACGGCAATACGTGTTTGCCGGCGCGAATCGCGCGAGTGTGCGTACGCGCTTGTATATATGTGTGTTATATATATATATATATATAACACACTAAGGACAAGCACATGTGTGAGCATACATACGTATGCGTATATAGATACCACCGAACGGGTCCACACCGAACGGGGCGTGCTGTACACCGCGCGCGGCAGGTATCGCCAGCCAGGAGAGGAGGCTCTCTGGCGCGCATAACCCGTTCACGAGAGAGCGAGAGACGAACGGACGAAACTGTCCGTAAACAACGAAGATAAACGATATATGCCTGTGCTCCACCCTGTTTCTTGGGTTTACTTTTCGACGAGTATTTCGCCGATTAGATATCGCTCTTTTGCAAACACTGCGCTACGAGCGCGTTCGATTATTGTACGACATCTTCCTCTCTCTCTCTCTCTCTCTCTCTTTCTTTCTCTGGCTCTTCGTGCCTCTCATTGCTCTCTTCCTCTCTTTCACGTATTATCACCGCCCGATACCGTCATGTATGTGCACTTCGTGTCTGTACCTTCCCCCCCTCCCACCCCTTCGTGTTCCCATCTCGAAAACCCCTTCCTCCCCCCCTTCTCTCTCGTCCATTCTTTTCTACCCTCTCCTTCCATCTTTCATTCTTCGTCCCTCTTTTGATCTCACTCGACCGGATCGACCTGTTCACGTGTACAGCGGCAATAACTATATCCAGCCCGGGTCTTTTTTCGTTAGGTCGTTCTTACGCAGCTTGAAAACGAATTGACTTATTGTAAAACCGTGTCCCGCCGTCCGTAATTGTCCGCGCGTGCCTGTGTGTGAATACTCGGATCGAACATCGAGTCAAGTATGTGGCGAGCTTTTTCTCCCCTGTCGTTTATGCTGCCACGTGCGAGACTCCAAGCAAATCCTATTTTTTTCGCGCTGGTAATTTTTTCAGCCTCAGTAATCTCATATTCATATTGTCAAGCGAAACGACTCCAGGTGAGGCAATCGATCTCGCCCGTAAAAGCCAATCTCGAGTCGTACGAGTAAAATATAAATTATTTCGATAGCGTATCGCGGTAGTACATAAGCAAGATATCATAGGTTCTTCACCACAATTCCTTTCACGGAACGAAAATGACTGCCTTAACGCACTTCAATAGTCAGATATTAATATTTTTTTGCTAGATAAAAACTGGGAGGAGAAATATGAGATAACTGAAAAATATTGTCGACTTTAGAAATCATTTGACAATTATAACGGAAAGTGCGAATTTCTATATATAATGCGGAAAAATGCTATTATATGATTACGCGTCGACATGATTTTAAATACGCTTGTACAGTTATGCAGACAACGACTCGATATAATGAATACGTGTTGAACTCGTGAACATGCTATGCAGAGGTGTATCACGAAGGGAAGCATCGCTGATAAGACGATATTGGTCTGCAGTCGGACTACAACGATAGATTTCATAGTAATGTTAAAGGTCTTTACGGGTTCCATTAAGTCACATTGTACACGGGCGAATAGCCGCATCGCGAATGAATAAGCACAATAAGCAGGTGGCCGTTGGACTCACCGGCTTCGAATCTCCTTCCAGCTGATCGGGTTTACGGCCGTATCGACCCCGTCCACCGTCGTACAATTACGGCGAACATCAGGAAGCGCACCATCCTGCGGACAAGAAAGAATCTTGGTCAGCTTGACGAATAATGCGAAACGTCATTCCGCATCGTTTAACCTTTGACAAAGATTCCGTGTAACACATTTAGAATTATATTTCTCTAATGTTATCTCACATATTATCTGTACTTCGACTTTTATCAATCTCGCGAGTTATTACAATCGATTCTTAAACTCTATTAAAGAGTTTCCGACTCGATTATACGAAATAATTACTAATGTCAAAGAACAGCGAATAATAGAATATCAAATTTAACGATCGTTGTAGAATCGAACTCCGCATCAAAGTCTTAATCATTTGCATCACGTACTTTCTATGTGAATCATTATATTTATTGTATTGATTATACAATTTTCAATACACGTTATATATACAGGATATCCGGTAAAACAACCCCCGTAACAACGCTCAAGTTAAGCGATTCGCTAATTCTAAATGTTTATAATTCAAAAACTATTATATTGTCATACATTTTAGTATTTTAGAATTTTCGTCTCAAAATAATAATCTGAAAAATCTACCCTTAAGCGTTGTTATAATCTTTATCAAAATATAACTATATAGATTTGATGGTAATTAGAAAACTTGATATAAGATATAACATGTGCTATCATTAGCCGTAACTCAACGAATTCGGGCTTAATTGTTATTATATAATTTGATTCAATCGGTACTGTTCAAAGCAAAGAAGAATAAAGTAAATGTTAAAAGCGCATAGTTGCAAGATAACAAGAGATAACAATGCATAAGGCGTATATTCTTATGTCACTTAAGTTAATAGAGAGAGGACGTGATAAGATAGATAGAACTATTAACCATCCGTCCATTTGCACAAAAACTGTATAAAAGAATGAATGTAAATAAAGTTCATGATTCAGAGCAAAAGAAAAGTAAATAGAATTTAGCGATAATCGATTTTCTCTTGAATTTTGATCTTAAACCATTCCACTGTAAAAAGAAAATTAGAAATTAAAAATAAATGATCGAAACACTTATTACAATACTTATTTTATATTGAAATTAATTTGTATTTTTATAGTAATAATTTGTATTTATTGCAATAATTTGTATTTTTATAGTAATATTAAACAGTTAAATAATCACAATACTCTACATAAAATTAAAAAAATTGAAAGATATATAACTTTAAATGTGAATATAAATCGAAGACATTATTGCCCGTCATGATAACCTCCATTCAAATAATAAAAAAAAAAAAAGAAAACGTTCCGTTAAATGGAATTCGTTTCCATCCATCTAGAATTCGTTTCGTATTGGAGTCGAAAGATTGGCAATTTGCGGTTGGTTATATCCATGGATACAAAAGATCCTGAGAGAAGACAAAGAACGATGATTCAGAAGTAGGAGAAGAGAAGAACTTGGTAGATGACACGAGATTCCTACGAAGGTAGGTACTATGTCATTGTCTTTTTCTTCTCCATTTTGTTGCTCTCTCTCTCTCTCTCTCTCTCTCTCTCTCTCTCTTCCTCTATCCTACGTACTTTCTATGGTTTAACGTTTTCGACTTGAAACGCCGACATTCCTGCCGCCGCATGGAATTCAACGATGTTAAATGAATCGTCTTAAGAAAATATAATGTCCACTAAATTCTTCTTTTTTCCTCTTTTATAATTTATAAAACCATAAAAATTATTTAAGCGTCTGACAAGTATTTACAATCATTTCATTAGATATATAATGTTATTATAATAAAACATCATAAATAAATGAAATAATATTTTATGAATAGCGATTTATACTTTTTAGTGAAATATCGCTGTAATTCTCTTCATGTTACATGTGTAATAAATTAATGTCAAATCTTTCGATCAATTATAATAAATGAAACGTTTAAGTGGACTTTACACTATTAATCTCGAAACCTACTAATTATAATAAAATGTTTTATTCAGTTGTATCGAATATACAATATATTGTAATTGAGGGAATAATATTTATTCATATTACATTTCATTTAAAAAGCAGATTTCTTGCATCGAAATAAAAATGTTCGAAACGAATACAAAATTATATTCTGCGTATAAAAATTCGATAAAAATAATAAAAGCATTTCATCATTCGATCTAGTGAACGGAAGTCGTTGGCTTTTAGGTGCTCCTTTCTTGAAAACTGGTAGGATTATATCGTTCCGGAAGATCGCAGGTAGCGCCCCGCTCTATTAATAGACCGGTTGATCAATTCGCAGGCGCGTCGGCGAGGTTTACCTGTGGCACGTGGGCGTTCCTGGGTAGCAAGCAGCCGTAAAGTCGTTAAGTAGCCACTTCGGACTTTAGAATCAGGAGGTGATGGATCATTAGCCCCGAGGATCTTTCCGTAACCTACGGTCTCTCTCTCTCTCTCTCTCTCTCTCTCTGTCGAGCCAATACTGGTTACACGCTTCGACAGGATACCACCGTGAAGCGTGTAATCGTTCGGTCGAGTTTCAACCATCCATGAAGTAAAAATGATGTCCGCGCGATCGTTACGTTGCTAAATCGTAATTCACGAATTAATTTTCTTTAAAAATTAAAGACAAACTGCAATTTCTTGCAATTACAAAATTACGCAAATATATACGATACAATTGTAATGTCACTCGATTTTTCCACGCTTCCATCGAACAATTTCCTTTCTATTTTTTTTTTAATACCTTGTCAAAGGAATGTATTGCACGAGCATCGAATTATACAGAAGGATAAAGTAAATGGAAAAACACGTACGATAATTAGCAAATGAGAATACATATACTCGTAGATAGACGATTGCGCCGCGCTAATACGACCGTTGATAAATTCGCGAGCGATGAAACGACGATGTAGCCGCAGGCACACTACGGTTTCTAGGCAGTGAGAAGCCATAAAGACGCTAAATAGCCACTTTCGACCCGGTAAGAAAGTGGTACTAGAGCGTTAGCCGAAGGGTGAGAAGATTGGAGTCAGCAGCATGTGGAACGCGGTTCGAGAGAGAGTACATAAAATCAGCTTGGATTACGCGCAAATGGACGGATAGAGAGACGAACGGCACGGAAATTTGTGACGGAAGCATCTAGCAATAATGAGAGTTCGATGTGCCAGGGGAACGTCGTGTGCCCGCCGGTATAAATGCCGAGCGCGTTCCAATTTATTCCTCGCCGTGCCAGAAATGCGCAGCAACAAATCATCGGCAGTGGCACACCACGGATCGTCTCTTTACGAGCGCGGTCGTTATGAAGCATCAAACGCACATATCGCGATCGAAAGTATCGATCTCGCTTTCGTTTCACGTATCTATATATTAGCCAATGGCGATTCAAGTCGCCATAGTTTGCCATAGAGATTATTTAGCGTGATTTCGGGGTATCAATGATATCAATATCTTCGTAAAGCGCTCGGGACCGATGTTATTCAATATGGAAACGGAAAGAACGGAATATGACGGTATATAATATGAATTTATATTGCGTAATGTGTTTAAAAAAAGAAATTACATTCGTTTTAAGTGTACACTCACTGTCGTATTGTTAAGTGCTCACATTTAAGTGGTATAGAAGTATATGTAGAAATACATACACGTACATAGTAATAAACTGTAGAGTAATTAAAACCGCGATAATTGAGATAAGCAGAAACTTAATACTGGATTAGATAGTGCGTAGTAAAGTAAGATGTAGAAATCGCTCAGCGTCACAGATCAGTCGCAAAGATAAATAGAATAATGTGTTTTATAAGTAGCGACTTACTAGAGAATGTCCGAGCAAAAGAATCGGTATGTGCGAATGAATGCATGCTGAATGATCGATCGATATCATATGCTACAAGAGCACGTTGTGTACATAATATAGGTAACGAGTAAACAAGTTATATTAAAGCAGACAGCTGTCCAGAAAGGTAAAATAATGTACAAAATATGCTAATAACGCGTGGGTATTTTCTGGAAATAAGGAAGCACGCAAGATAAAGATACAACTTTCGGACACAAGAGAAAAAACGGGTACCTACATGAAACCGTTATAAAATTACAATTGTGGGTCTTTTGCCCACGTAAAGTGAATATATATTATTACTTTTAACATATTATAAGATACATTAGAAATGTACTATTCTGTAATGCATTATTATAACTTTTCGCTATAAAAAATGTATTATTATTAATTCACGCACGTATATATAATTATGTGAATGTAAGAGTGCAATATATATATATATATATATATATATATATATATATATATACGTAATAATTACAAATCATTATCCGTCGTCTCTAAGGAACTGAATTGATATAATATACATTCGAGTATACCTTAAAGAATTATAGAAAGAATAAAAACATAATTCACAGAGACGACTAATCAAGTGCTTGTCGGTGCAAATCGGTATAAGTAAAGATACGAAAATTTACAATCTGCTACCAAGACGATATTACGATATCTATATTCAAGTTCGATGACAACCACGCTAAAACCACCAGCGTTTTCGAACGGATGGCACGCCGAAGAATGATCGCCGAGTATATTCGCGGGAATCGGCGCGGAAGAGCCGCGAATATATGCGATCGGTCAGGTAGTTCAGTGGACGAGCGGTTTGCCGGTTGGAAGGTGAGTCTGAGCTGCTGGAAGGATGCTGGAGAGGCCGAGTGGTGGCGGCACGGCCGGTGTGGTCAGGTGGCTCGCAAGGACGCGGCAGGCCGTTCACCCGTTCACCCATTCGCCCCCTCCCGCCCCCTCGCCCCACTCGTCATCATTATACGTGCATGCCGGTATTCACGTACATACACGGACATGTACGCACATACGCGTGGATTCATCGCGCGGATCTCTCTCTCTCTCTCTCTTCCTCTCTTCTGAACTCTGCCGTCCCTCTCGCCCATTCTCTCCTCTCCCCCTGTATCTCTCGGGGGGGGGAGAGGGGGGCTCTCCCCTCCTCTCTTTTCCAACCATCCAGTCGTCTCCGCTCCAGATCCGAACGCGAGTGCAGCCTTAACTAAGTTACCGGTATTTGTACTCCGAGAA